AGAAAAGAGTGCTGGGTCTAGATGACCCCAGCTAGATGCTTATCTAACCTCCTCTTGAAGACCCCCAGGGTAGGGGAGAGCACCACCTCCCTTGGGAGCCTGTTCCAGACCTTGGCCACTGTAACTGTGAAGAAGTTCTTCCTAATGTCCAGTCTAAATCTGCTCTCTGCTAGCTTGTGGCCATTATTTCTTGTAACCCCCGGGGGCACCTTGGTGAATAAAACCTCACCAATTCCCTTCTCTGCCCCCGTGATGAACTTATAGGCAGCCACAAGGTCGCCTCTCAACCTTCTCTTGCGAAGGCTGAAAAAGTCCAGGTTCTCTCGTCTCTCCTCGTAGGGCTTGGCCTGCAAGCCCTTAACCATATGAGTGGCCCTTCTCTGGACCTTCTCCAGGTTATCCGCATCCCTCTTGAAGTGCGGTGCCCAGAATTGCACGCAGTACTCCAACTGCGGTCTGAACATTGCCTGATAGAGAGGAAGTATCACCTCTTTGGATCTATTCGTCATGCATGTGCTGATGCACGATAAAGTGCCATTATCTTTTCTGATGGCTTTGTCACACTGCCTACTCCCATGTTCATATTGGAGTCAATAATGGCAGTTCATCTTGGAGTCAATGGGAGACATAGCTTAGGTTAAGTTGGCAGAGTCTGTGTGGTATTTGCCTTCTTCTGCTGTAGCCCTCTTCCTAGGATAGTCTGAGCATCTATTAACCGTTTTCTTATCTGTCACTGCACATGATGACACTGGCAGCCTCCTCATCTCCCCTGCAAGTGAGATTTGCAGAGTAGTATTTGCTCTTACTTTCTTGAAGATCTTTTCCATGCCTTAGCTATACATCCTGCAGGTCAGGATGGAGGTACTTTGGCAGGGAAACTATTGTCCTGTTCTTTGAACAAAGTGATCTTTTCATATTTTTTTTTTCTTTGAAGCTATGAAAAGAGCACTACAGCTGAATTTGGCTCACTTTCAATCCCCCAGTGCTTCTTTTTGAAGAATGCAGCACAATCCTGATGATGTAATTTTTTGTAGGACACGTTTACAGAACAGGAACTAAATGTGGCATATATACTCAGCTGGAGTGGAGATTACCTCTAATTCCTACACTTGTTCCAAAGATACAGAGAGGCTTTCACTGGAGATAGGTAATGTATGCAGGATTTATTTTTAATGACAGAAATGTGAAAGGAAAAGGTACTTTACTAGTATTTAATAGGTAAAGTGTTACAAATATTATTTAATCAATATCTAAAGAGTACCAAAATGCCTTTATTTTAATTAAAAGAAAATTCTATAGTTTCTAGGTAGTAATCCCAAAGGCAGAATACAATAATATTTTCTATTCAGCAGGCCACTTGCTTATCTCAGTTGAACCTATGTAAATGAGAAATGACATCACTAAATAGATCTAACACACAATTTAAATGAGCTCAAAATCTGGGCTACAATGTAAGAAATGTTCAACACAAGAAACTTTACAGATTTTGCAAAGTTGGAAATCTCTTTTTACTCTCACTTTGATTGTATGTTGGTGTTGCTTCAGTGGCATTAGCCATGCCTTAAACCAAGTAAACACTGACTGTTGTCTTGTAGTGCTGTCAAACAACTTCTAAAAGGTCTCACGTATACAGCATATTAAGGCACCTAATGTATTGAACTGCACAAAAAAATTGTGTAATCTTACTAAAAGGAGGAAAACCAGGAAGAATGTGGTTATCATATGGAAATCCTAAATATAAAATATGTCCAAACTAGGGAAAAATGTTACAAAGTAAACTAAAAAGACAGTCAACATTTTTTTCAGAAAACTCGCAGCATGAAACAGGTAAAAAATATTTATCAGGCAGGGGAACAAAAGGCCATGTGTGATGGCAACACAGAAGGATAAAGCAAGACTGAACTTCAGTTTTTAGAATATGTTTTTTTTTTAATTGTTTTTTTTTTAATAGGAATTGGTAATATATGATTATAAGTTGGCCACAATTGTCATGCCTGATTTCATGCCATATAATATTAGTCTCCTATATCATATTAAATCCTTTAGTGATTTAATATGAGTCCTTGACTTGTAATAAAAATGGCTAAATAGGAATGTGTCTGGCAAACTTGAAAGTATCAGCTCATATATTTTTTAATGGGAGGTTAACTTCAGCAAACTTGAAAGTATGAGCTCATATATTTTTTAATGGGAGGTTAACTTGATTCTAAGTTTTGTGTCTTTAAAAATGTGTATTCTGATTTTAAGTTGGTCAAAAAAACAATTGATTGTAGAGTTGAAAGTGTTCTGTATGTCTCAGTGTAGCACTTAACGTGAGAAATTTTAGGCTTTGAAAATTAATGTTAGAATCAGTATTGTATTTGGCATTACAATAACCACAACACTGCCACCCTTCCTGTTCATATTCTTTTAATGCACAGCGAAAACGTATGTACTTGGAGTGACAATTGAACAATGGCTGTGCAAACAGCTGCAGAACTGAGACCTCCCTCTGTCAATAGCTTTGCCATTAGCTTTAGTGTCTGCAGGATTAGCTCTCACTTCTGTTATGCCCAGTAGGAGGTAGAGCATATGCATAATGCACATTATGCACGAAGCCTGGTTTGTGGTGGGACTTTCTCTGTGATAGCACGCACAGAGCATGGAAGAGTACAGAAGGTCTCCCCAGCCCCACTTCACCACCGTGGGGCTGAGTACACTTAACTGAGGTTGCCTCTGGTGCTAACCTGTGAATAAGGGAGTAAACCAGAATTACAGAATCATATAAAAATAGGGCAGGAAGAATCCTCAGAAGGTCATCTAGTCCAACTCCCCACTTATAGACAGGATCATCCCTGTTTAAGCTGTTCCAGTCATGCCTTTGCTTCACTGGCTTTTCCATATTTCCCACATGGGAATGCCACAACCTGCTTAGGGATTCTGCTCCAGTGCTGAACCATCCTTATAGTGGGAATGTTCTCCCCGATATTCAACCTACATTTCCCTTGTCACAATTTATTTCTTGGATAACTTGAGGTATTTGTATGCCTCAAAGTTATAGACCAAGGGATCAAACACACGATGCCTTCACACAGAATTTGCTTGAGTTACTCTGGGGTAAAAGTAGAGCAGACATCCAACCTAGAGTTTGACCCTGGTGTAAGTCACTCCACTCTGGGATAAGGTTACCCTTCAGGAAATGGGAGGGTAAGTTAAACCAGTGTACATCCTAGGGTAGCCTCTTCACTGAGTAAATCCAGTGCAAACCCGACACCTGGTTCCATCCGTTTGCAGCAGCACCTACTCTAGACAGTCGTCTCTGGAGACCTGGCCGTGTGTCTGCTCCGGTCAATGGTGTAATTCTACTCCGGGGTAAAATATGAGGTAAACTGCCCAGGATAAATGCATAATCTGTCCACACCCTAAGGCAGTGGTCACCAACCAGGGGATCTCAATTCAATTCACTGGTAGATCTCGAAGCCTCTTGAAGTCAGAGGCTGGGGTGGGGGGCTGAGTGCCCATGTGCATGCAGGTCAGTTTGTGAGGGAGGGGAGGGGAGGGGAGGGGCAGGGGCTAGATCAAGGCCCCCACGGTGAGGGACAGTGCCACAAAGGCAGGAGCAGGGGTAAGTTGAGTGGGGCCCCGGCCAGGTGGGACTTACCTGCTGGGGAGGCGCACCCCGAAATATTTTTTTCTCCTTCTGCATTAATCTGCCCTCCACCTTCCCTCCCTACAGACTTACCTGCTGGCAGGGGGGGGGGGGGGGAGGGGAAGAGAGAGTGACAGCAGCACACGGTAGATCTTGGGTTGCTTTTAAATGCCAAAGGTGATCTCCTACTTAAAAAGTTTGGAGACCACTGCCTTCTAAGATTTCCAGTGCACACAAACTCATTTACAAAGATGGCTAGATTTGCACAACTTGTGGTATTTGTATGCCTCAAAGTGAAATTTAACTTAGAGTTAAATGTAAATATGAAGCATTGCAGGACTGGAGCCTTATAATTTAATTGGCAGAGAGGGGATTTTTATCCACAGTGTTTAAATGGCAAAAAGATCATTCACATTCTGACCTAATGGTTTCCAGTATGAGGCCATAAGTAGTGGAGCATGCTGCCTCACTCAGTGGCAATATACAGCTGCTATCATGTTCATATTGCCACTTGTTTGGAAACAGCTGCATTGTTCATCCCTGTCTCTGTTATATTTATCAGCAAAAAAGTCATCCCAAACTTTGGCAGTACACCTGGACGTTATGCATTTTAACTCCAGTCGGTAGCCATTTTCAGTGGCAGGGATTTAGGACTGGAATCTCTTTGCATTAACTCTGATGCAAATCAGAAGCACGTTTCTTGACTTTGATAGGTAGAAACCCACTTTAAATGACCAGAGGTTCAGGCCCCTCATCAACAGGAAATGTAACATGTTTAAAATTGCTTTCTAATGAGTTTCAGAGCCATGGTATGTGCCAGAGTTTCTATATCTTACTTCAAGGAGCAGGAAGTAATAGGTGACCACTTCTTGAAAGGAGACCGTTGTGTAATCTGCCCCTGCAGTACTGTGTTACTTCTCTCTTGTTCTTTGCCAGACAGGGGTTGAAGGATTTCTACATCAGTCAGAAAAACTCAGCACCCTTTTTTTCACTTCTTGCTTCTCACCTGTTTTCAACAGTAGCACGTTTATTTAATCAGGTAGTAAGAACTTATGCCTCCCTTTTTATAATCTTCCTTTGTGTGCTGTTAAAACAGATGCTAGCACTGCCACTTCTGAGTTAAAGGAGACTTACCGGACCTCAATAGTACTTCAGAACTGCCCTGTTTTTGTATTTAGGCTATTGGCTGGAGTTAAAGGTACTTTTAGGTATGGACATCGTTGTGTATATGCTTCAGAGACAGTAATGAGATGAAATGTTCTTTCAATTGGGACATTGCCTTGTGGAAATCATTTTACCAACCTGAAGAACAGCAATTTGTCTGCACAAGCTGGGCATGACTCATCAACGAATGAAATAATTTTATCTTGGCAGTAGATTCTGGTATCAGAAGGACTATGTGGCCACTTGTAAATCACCTGGCCACTTACACAAATTCATCAACAGGTCTACATTTAAACACACCTCAGGTTATTCTGTGCGTATACACTAGAATATTATCCATCCCCATAAAGATAAGCAGTAGAGCTGGGCGAGTTCTGAAAAATAAGGATCTGCAAATATCTGCTCAAATTTTTGCAGGGAAACAAAACACTTGGTTTAAGTATAGGCAGACAAGGTTCTTTGGGTACACGTGATATTTTTTATTAAACCAAGTAATTAGTCGGAAAAAAATGTTCTTTGCAACCTTTCAGACACAAACAGCCTTCTTCAGGCATGGGGGGAGTCTGTTTGGTGTCTGTTTGCTCTCCTGGGTAGACTAGAAAAAATATGCAAAATACAGGTCTGTGAGAATGCAAATACATGGCAGTAAGGTTCAGAGGGAATAAGCATTGAATTGCAGCAGTTATCCTTCCCCACACTCAGCTTTCTCAAGAAGTCTGAAGAACTAGAGAGCTCCGTGAAGAGTACCCTGATCCTTCCAGAGGTTTGCCAAGAGCCATGGAGAGGTATCACTGGTAGAGCCCAAGGACTCAGATCAAATGGTATGATTGACCGATTATTAAAACCATGCTCCCCTGCCTGGAAGCATCTATCAATCATTTCACCTGCATTCTCAGTATCCTAGCTGGTAAAAGCAGGTTCATAGGTAACCAAAGAAGGAACAGTTACACACTGATATGGAGACCAGCCATGATCTCCCTCTCCCAAGCAGCTCCTGAACTCAGAGCTGTACAGGGGACACCTCTGTATACTGCAGTTTCCCAGATGCAGGTGTTATCTTGACTTCCCAGGCATCCTGTGGGGTAAAGCCGCACTAAGTAGCCAATGATAGACTCCAGCTGGTAAAGCAGCTTGAGAAGCAGCCACACCATGGACCCCCAAGGACCATCATTGCCATCTCTAGATTTTGACAGCAGTTTCTCTGCTCTGAGCTAAACGTCTGCATCCAACCTTCCTCTTTCCTTCATTCACAGACTCTTCACCTCAAGCTCAGTCTATATGTCCTTCAACCCTCTCTCTATTATGTACCCAACGTACCTTCTTTCCTCTGACTGTCCTGTCATTTAGTTGATCCCCTCCTAAATAAAGCCACAACCCTCCCCCACAGAACTATTATAATGTTGTTTTTATTTATTTATTTATTAATTATTTTTATTTATTTATTATTTATTTCATATTTCACATTCTGTTTGTGTATTCTATTTCGTGCCCTACCCTTTCCTGCCTTACCTGTTTTGGTTGTAAATATTTCTAAACCGTGTTTGTACGATGTCTGACATAACTCTTTGGCACAACCTTCATACACATAAGTAATATTTTCTGACCCGCCAGCACTTGCCTTCCTATGGATGTTATCTTCAATATTTAACATACCAAACCATTAGCTTCCACCACATCTGGAATGCAATGTGCATGCAGAAACGCAATAATCACTGTATGGAAACAAAGCTGGCTGAATTTTTTTACCCCAAAATTGAAATTTTGGGGGGGAAAAATAGTTTTGTGGCAAGGTGATCCCAGTCAAAATATGGTTTTGAGGTATATACCTTGATTTTGGTCATCTCAGCAGTAATGCCTGCTGTGACTCATGGAAGTTGTAATTTTAGGTGCCTAGTGCAGCCTTCTCTCTAGGCTGGTCTCCTTATCTGGATTGCATCTCCCATGGGTTATTCCAGTCATCCTTATAACTCAGATGCCATATTGTATCATGGGAAACGTAGTACATCTAAGTAGCCCAGTCCATAAAATGGAATAGGCTCATGAGATAGTGTAAGTACTTGCATGGGTCCAGTCCCAAAGAGACAAAATCAAATGCTCGGATGTTTCTGAACTGATTTTTTTTTTTTTTTTTTGGCATTTCTGTGAAATATGATGGCAATTGTGGCTTTCTACCCCAAGTTCAGTTAAAAAAAAATTGAAAAAAGCCAGAACTTCACACAGAATGGAATATCTGAATTTTGATGTTGTCTAAATCTGGCCCATTTGCCTGCTTCTGATCCCTGACCCAGGGCAAGAACAAGAAGAAGTGGAGTAAAAAAAAACAGCTATGATGGCAAAAGGCTAAGTAGGGAAACCCTGGAGAGTAGAGCAGCCACAATGGAGAAGCAGTGTCGGAAAGAGAAGGAAGCAAAAGAGAACAAAATGGAGAACTGGACAATGTGTGTAAACTGGGTGTGGACTGGGTCACCCATTGGGGTCACTCGGGAATGGGATTGGCAGGGAACAGTGGACGTGTATATGCATCTTAAAGGTCTATATGTTAAAAGAGTATCTCTCTTCTACATACAAGTGCCAATCCTGTTTGTTTGAGCAGACCAGAGGCATGATCCCAACCTACCAAGTAACAGAATGAGGCTGTGTCCTTTAATACAACATACAGAAGACAAAGTACATTGCTGTGCAATTAAGCTATGTCAACTTCTAATTGCCTCTAGAGATATATGTCCCAATAAATAAGAGCACTGCTTCTCCAAATGCAGAGGAAGCTCAGACAAAAAAAAGAGACTAAATGATTTGTTTTTATTTATTTATTTATTTCAGTTCTTAGAGATGCATCTGCTAGCTATCTTCGTGTGTCTGGCGGTGATGTTGCACCAATCTGTTGGACAGGTAGGTGCCCTCAGCTTCATGGAAGAGGCTGAGTCTTGTACTCAGCTACTTTCTAATTAGTCAGTAGTTCAGAAGTCCACAGGTACAGTGGGATTTGATCATGAGTATCTTTGACTGTCACATGTACTGGAAGCCATGGTTCCCAGCAGGCGTTTCAGAAACCCAGCTGTCGGGAATCAGAGCAGCCGCCGGCAGCCGCTTTCTAACTCCCACCAGAGCAGTAAAACGTTCACCTCAACAGGCGGGTGATTAATGGATGGGGTGAAATTAACCAGGCACAGACGCGTGTTGGTTACAGGAGATTGTTTACTTACATCGCCCAGATAATGACGTGCGACGCAGGCTGAGCCTTTGTTCCTTTACAGTTGCTTCGATTATAGTTAAGCGTATAGGTTCGGGTTACAGTCAAGCGATGACGAACGTGGTGCCAGAACGAACTATTGTGCCTGCAGGGCTTTACTACGTCAAGATTTACGATGACGGGGAGTCATTGACAGGTGATCAAACTGCCAAGTCACTCTGATGATGGGCTCAGGTTTCTCCTCAGAGATTCCCCAGAGTTCTCCGACTTAGGCAGAAGTTGCTAAACTATTTATAGACAGAGATAACTAATGGAGGTATCCAATGATGGGCTGCTAAGTGGAATCTTTAATTTTCTGGCAAAGCAGCAGTTCTTTGTGTTATCAGGTTACAAGGTAGTGGGTCAGGTTTCCTGCCTGTTACGTATGAGGTTACGTGTGAGGGGCTTACACTTGTTTCTTGACCAATTATATGCAGTTCTCCCTCCGGGTTTTGTTTCAGGAGTTTCTGGCAAGGATTTCTTTTAACCCTTAATTGACTACTGCGTGCGAAGTGAAGATGGTCTAAATGGTGTCTCTTGCTAGTGGCATGGGCACTAATTAATTGGGTTGTGACACCAGCATGGTAAATTGGCTTGGAAAGGGGGACATAGTATGGACTTCCCCTCTCTCCCCTTCTGCTCCTGTGTGTGGGCACATATAGAGAACTGGTACTCCTCGTGCCCTAGTTGTATATAGATGTAACCCCATCGAGTAAGTATATTTGTTTTACCTCAGTGCAAGCAATTGCAAACCAAACTCTGCTTATTGGTATAGCTGGGATGATTTCATTAGATGCCACTGCTTCTTGGATCTCCATTGTAGTCTTCTGTCACCCTCATGGAAACAAATAGGGGAGCAGGTACTTTCCTACTGGCTACTCCTAAAGTAAATTTTTAAATCATTGTTTTATAGACACCAGGCAATTCCAAATTATTCATATGCAGAAGAATTTCCTTTATCTGAACCTTGGTTCTCTTAATTTTCCTAGATGTCCCACGCAAAAGACATAGTCCCAAACACCTAATTCCAAGATGGTGGGGACCTGATGCCAAGGGAAGGAATTGGGAAGGCGTGGAAGTGTTATCATGAATTTCACTGACGGTTTCTTGCTTAAGGTCCTCTGTCTTCACATGGTCTGAGTACTCCCTTGAAACCAGCCTAGACATTGCCCTTCATGAGGGTGAGCCCAGAGCTCCTTGGACATGGACACTAGGCTCTTTAGGTGATGGCAGTGTTTATTAACCCCATACATCTGACAATAAGCTCCACTTGGTTTCACTCCTGATGGGGTCTTTGCCCCTTTAAAGGATGGATGGCAATCAGAAGGGAAATGTAGCAAGGCAGGAAGTCTTGCTAAAACAAGAAATGTTATTGGGTAACAACTGCAATGTAGTAGGCAGAGTCCTTGGATTAGAAAGTCCAAACCAAACGCCAGGTGAGCCAGACGGACAACTCTAACTAGCCATGGCCCTTTAGGGTCCAGACTTGGGGCTGTGTTTTCTTTCTGTCCCCTGGAGGCATAGGGAGAGGAGTCCACACTGGGCACACCCAGACGTGCAGGCACCTGTGTTTTGTGGCACCATAAACTTCTTTGCCACAAACTGCATGCATTGCACATTAAACCACGCAAGGCACCGCTAATTTGCATCATGCGAGCAATATTTGATAATAGGATTTCCCAGTAACAAAAAAAACCCAAAAAAACAAAAACCCACAAAAAAAAAGCAGCACAAACAAACATGGAAAGAGTTAAGCACCGGGATAAAATGCTGGGACAAATGTGGAGACTGGTAAGTGGCAGCCCTGGGCTAGTGCTCCCCTGTCTCAATGTACCTCAGTGTGGGGTCTCCATAGTGGGTAGAGATGGGGGAGCAAGCAGTGCTGGGGTGCCTGCTCCCTTGTCTCTACCTGCTGCTCCCCAGCTGGCTAGGGCACAGGGTACAGGGTCTGCCTGCCAGCTAGCCCCATGCTTAGGCACCCTGTGCCCCAGACAGTGCCCCTCCCTTCTCACAGCACATGAAGCCCAGCTGGGAGGAGCTGCGGCAAAAAGTAGTAGCACAAATTGTGTGCCCCTACTATTTGTGCCACTGCAAGAACATACCCCTGCTTACCTGGACATGGCCTTTGAGTCCCCTTTCCCAAGCCAGTTTACCATGCTGAGTTTTTGATATACCTCCTGGGCACCAATCCTTGCAAGATAATCTCTGGTTTCTTCTGTATGTAAAACCTCCCAAATTTACCTTGATGTCATGATGTACATGTACTGAAAATTTCCCTTTGTGTGGCTTAATGGCGTCACACATTACGCATATCTGATTTCTGGGGTTTTAAATGAGTTTGCTTCATTGCAAACTAAACTGCATCCCAATGTAGTTTAGTTTGCAACATTACAAACTAATGCAATGTAGTTTAGTTTGGAATATTGCAGCCATTGGTCAGCTTGCCCAGCCACAGGAGAGGTGGGCAGGCTCCACAGAAAAAAAAAAAGGATTGGGCCCCTCACCTCTTCTGCCTTCAGCAGGCTCCCGCAGCCATCAGGATGCCTGGGGCCACCTGGGAATGGGCTGGCTCGCCCCTAGGGCAGTGCAGGGTGGAGGAAGGTGGGTGGCTGGGTGTGCTGGCAGCCGGAGAAGGTGGTAGGGATGGTGCACAGGTGTGGGCCTGCCTGGGTAGGCTGCTAGCTTGCCAGGTGCTGCCCCAGCTTTTAGGCATTTGATCCAACACTTCCTCAAGCCTGCCCATGCTTCCAGCTAGCTGTGCACTGTCCCTGCTGCTTTCTCTGGCTGACAGCACACCCAGCCACCCTCCTACTACTTCCCTTGGCCCAGGGGCAAGCCAACCCATTACCAGGCAGCCCAAGGAATCCTGCTAGCCACAGGAGCCTGCTGAAGGCAGAAGCAGTAAGGGGCCTGATCCTTTTTTTCTGCAGAGCCTGCCCGCTTCTTCCGCTGGTGGGAGGCAAGCTGACAGATTAATGGCTCAGATTAACATCCCCCTGGCTACGGGAGAGGAGCACAGGCTCCATCAAGGGGAAAAAAAAAAAAGAAAAAATTATTGGGTCCCTTGCTGCTTCTGCCTTCAGCAGGCATCTGGGACCACCAAAAGAATAACATACATACAGTGACAGAAAAATAAAACCAACCATTTCAATTAGAAATTCACCATTTCAATTTAGGGGGCATAGAATGCAACTCTAAGGACTAAAACTCTGTGACGTGTACAAGCGCCCTGGCTATCCTATTCTCTACCAGCTTAAACATCCATCCCTTCCCTAGTGCCAGGTGAAAGATAACTCTTTCCTTACCTTTATTGCATACTGTTATACTGGGAAAAAAACTGCGGTTGTCATAGGTCACAGAAGTATTCCAAGACATGACCACTTCCTATCACCCGTGAGTCTCCTGCTACCTCCATAAGAAGAGGGAGAGGAAAAGCTGCCCCTTCCTAGCAGTGTTCCATAGCTCAGGAGTATGCTGAGAAAACCTACCAGGAAACCTATTCACTTGAAATAAATACACGTTAACATAGAAGAAACCTTTCCTGTGTGGTGTTTTTTGTTGTTGTTTTTTTTTACTTTAGAGACCTGCTTTGGGTTTTACTGCTTTGTCTCGTTCTACTGCGGATAACCACAAGGTGATTGTTGACAAGTTCAATGACTTAAGGAGGAACGTGAGCCCAGCTGCTAGCAACATGCTGAAGATGGTAAGTCATGTAGTGTCGGCACAAATCATAGAGTCATGGAAGAGTAAGGCTGGATTGAGCCTCAGGAGGTCACCTAGACCAGGAGCTGAGAGACCTGGGCTCTGTTACTGCTGTTACTCCTATTGCAGGCTTTTCCTATGACCTTGGGCAAGAAGGAGTGGCAAGATCACACAATAGTTTCTAAAGCACAATTTCCACATGCTGTTGACTCATCCGCTTTTAACCTCTCTACATCAGTTTCTCTCTCTGTCAAATGTAATGAAGAGTCATTTGCCTCCAGGGTGAAGAGGACTCTTAATTTACAGATCTAATAATATTACTTTGAGATCCTGGGATTAGAGGGGCTTTAGGAGATCAAGTCTCATTTCTCCACAGAGATCTAGGTTGCCGAGATTCTAAGTGTTGCATAGCACAGGATAGCAGCGACGGCTCTGCCACGTACCCTTTGCAGGCATTC